TTTAAATGCAGTAAAAAATTAAATATATACACTACCTGCAATCAATTCAATGCATCCTTGCTGAATAAAATAATGAATTTCCTTAAAAAAAAAATCTTACCACCCCCATATTTTGAACAGTAGTGTAGTTATTTAAAAATATGTAAATATACAGAGGTGTAATATTTGAGTGACTGTCTTGGCAGTAAAGCTGTGTGTGCAATATAATGTGCCACAAAAACAGCAGTGTATAATTTTGTCATGCTGCTTGTTACTGGAAAAGCTCAACTGTTTTGGAAACGGCTAAGCCACAGTCAGACTACTGAAAATGTAGTCACATTAGTTGCACTGCTAATTTTAGTTAGTTCTCAACATTGAAATGCATCATGCAACAATTTGACAATTACATTTCTGCAGTGATTATGTGGTTTAATAATCAATTACAATAATTATAAAATGCTTGTAATGTACTATGCATTTATTATTTTATATAAAAACAATCCTTGACATTTTCAGTTTCAGTCCACCAATTCCATAATGTATTTTCCTCCAGTTTCATATCATACATTATATTTCAAGAAATCACTTTAAATTATACCAAAATTTGATTCAGCTGAAATGGATGATGAACCAATTTTAGATTTCATGTTGCATTTCATCATCTAGGAAAGAATTGTGATGAAATCCAATTTTTGTTAGAGCAAACATTAGAAGCACTTCAGAAGAAATAACGAGTTTTGTAGGTTTGATCATTTTACAGATTCAGTTTTAAATTGCTAGTAAAGTATCTTTTGCTATATGGTTTCTTAACCTCTTAAGACCCAGCAAAACATTTTAGGAAAAAAATTGAATTTTTTAAAATGTCATTACATTGTTAGAGCATTAAAAAAAATATAAAAATGATATTTCATTCATAAGTTATGCTACGTCCTTGGTAGAGGACATCGGGACTCAATTTTTTTTTAAAAGTAAAAAGACATGAATGAACATGCATAGGCAAAAACAATTGATTTTTTTTTTTAAATCACCAATACATTTTCAGTTCTCAGGATTTTTTTTTTTTTTTACCAAACTTTGTATAAAGATAATTCTCAACTATGTTATAACAGAATGATTTGATATACCATTTTTCTTTATGCAAAATGTGTGTAAAAT